AATTTATATTTTGGATTCTCATTGGGTAAATAACCTTCCTACCAAATATTGCCACTATTTTCCCTAGTTTCGGGGTAACAATACCGCCATTTTGAGGATTTTTCATTCGAATTGGGTCTAATTTGATATTTTAGGTTTTCTTTCTACCATATAAAAAGGGGTCATAGACAAAATGAAGCGGCTGAAGCAGGAAGTGTAGCATAGACGTGACTGAAGAAGGTCGACTTTAATAGATCAAAGCAAGATTTGAAACAGGGAGTCTTTCACACACCATCTGAAGCAAGGAATCTTCCACAGACGACATGGGAAAGACATTCGTATTTCCAAAAAATGGAAACATTTCATAAATGTCAGACATATTTTTTTACTTTACCACTATTTGCGCTCATGTTTTTCTTCTTCTCTCTTCTTTTTAACAACAACAAATGTATTCTTCTTAAGAAAAAACACTACGCCTTAATGTTCAGGAGGGTTTTTTCGTCCTCCAACTCTAACAACTAAAAAAATGTAAACATTTCATAAATATCAGAATTATTTTCCTACATAGATCTACTTTACCACTATTTGCGCCCATATTTTTTTCTCTCTTTTTTGACAAGTACAAATGCTTTCCTTCTATGAAAAAGAAAAACACCAACACTCATTGTTCGGCAGGGTTTTTTTGTATCGTCCTTCAACTCTCACCGTTACTTTTTCTCTTGCTAACAATCACCGTCTCTTCACTCACTCGATTTTGGTTAGTTTAGTTTAGTTAGTTGCATTGCATTGTTTCTTTATTAGACACAGTTACTAACCTCAAATTATTCCGATATAAAATGCTTAAATCCGGACACTATTCTATTATTATTACTATTCATATAATGTACGACATTTTTTTTCTGTGTAAATCAGACGGAATTCTTAGAGAAGTTGGAGCAGCGAGTCATTATAGAGGAGCTCGAAGGAGACCGTATAGAGGACCTTTTTTCGGCTTGCAAAAACTGGGAATACATAGATACATACAATCACTGACCCCCAACATTTAACGTTAACGACAATTTACGGTATTTTGAAAATTGAAGGCCGTCATTTCCGAAGTTTCCAACTTAAAAGTCTCTAATTTGATATGTCCTGGCATAGTACCCATAAAAAGTCCCGAACTATTTTAAGTATTTTGAAGGAGTACCTATCATGCAGAGTACTTCAAAGTTCAGCTGTCCTGAACTACGCCTCCCACCACCCATAAATGTCCCATGTTTCAGCTTATAAATTAAAAACTCGTTATGACCTTCTTTAATATAAAAAATTCTTTCTGTATCAGATTTTCCATAAAGGGCAAATTCGTTTACAAACACTTCCTGCCTATTTTTGTCAAATAACATTCCCTCCTTCAGCTTGTCTATAATGATTCTCTGAAGCTCATATATAAAAATCCTTTTCATTCTATTGATTCCAAGCTTTTGCAAGCCAAAAAGGTCCTCTATACGGTCTTCGTCAAGCTTGTCTATAAAGACTCTCTGCTCAAAGTTCGCTGGAAATACCGTCCGATTTAATTTTGTCTATAACTCGTCTACACTGAAGTGTTCAGAAAGTGATGCCAATGTCCGGTTTTAAGCATTTTATATCGAAATAATTTTGAAAATACATATGCGAATTTTATAATACCTTTCAGAAGTCAGTAACAGTGTCAAATAAAGAAACAATGCAAAAGAAACCAAAATCGAGTGAGTAGAGAGACGGCGGTTTTTAGCAAGAGAGACAGTAACGCTGGGAGTTAAAGGACAATACAAAAAAAACCCTGCTGAACAATGAGTGGTGTTGTTTTTATTTTTCTTAGAAGGATAACATTTGCACTTGTCCAAAAAAGAGAGAAAGAAAAATATGAGCGCAAATAGTGGTAAAGTAGATCTATGTAGGACAATAATTTTGATATTTATGAAATGTTTATATATATATATATATATTTTTTTTTTTTGAAAAACTAGTGGCCTTCTCATGATTATAAGAATTTTTACTTGTATTCCAAGCGAGGTATATCTACAATATGGGAAAAGTATGGACAATGCCATATTTTTTGTGTATAAATTTGCACCACTTTGACTTCCTGCCTCAGATCATCTATAAAAGAAAACTTCTTCCGGTCGTTTTTGAAAGACAACCTCTTTCAGATCCCCTGTGAAAATCTCGCAGTTTCAAGTCTTCGGTGAAAGTCTCCATGCTTCAGGTCGTCTGTGGCTCCTGATTCGTCCACGTCTTTGAATACTTCCTGTTTCAGCCGTCGTCTATGAAAGACAGATATACTGTATTGGTCTCCTATTAATACAACCGTTGCTATATCGACTTCAATAAGTATTCTGTGCTTCAAATCCCCCATGAATATCACGTGTGTTTTATAAATGTCACCGGAGGAACTTTTGCTTTCAGACACACATATTTATATACATACATACCATTGTAACATGTTGAGAAATGGGTTTCATTACGGCACGCCACATTATTCGATTGTAAGCAAATATTACAAATTCCAACTTTAGCTGTATCCCCAAAATGGCCGAGTGCTATTAATAACTGTAGAAAGAAACACCATTATTACTAATTTTCCATTTGTTTAAATTTAATCCACAAAATACACATTCACTCAATAATTATTACAATGATTAAGGGTAATAAATTTAGCATGGTCATTGCCCCCAATTTGTTGTGACTCATATTTTCGTTTACGCTTAAATTTGTTTCAAATATTTAATTTTCAATATTTATTTATATTTTTTGTATTAAAACTTTAGAGAACTTTTATATTTATCCATCCGCCTAAATCACCGCCGTACAAATAATTACGGTCTACTGAACTTATTGGCCCACATTTGTTAAGAAGTCAAAGAAATTTCGCTTTAGTTTACCTTGACTTTATATGATTATCATAAAGATAAATAATTGATTTGGATCGAACAATTGATTTGTTTTTCTTTTTTTTTATCGAATTGTCGTCGTTGATTTTGAGCAAAAAGTGAAATTAGGTGACATATATACGTTGGTGTGTTGAACTTAGTAGGAGAATGTGACGTAGAAGAGAGTACTTTATGTGTTCTCTTTACTTTAATTGTTAATTATTAACAAAGATTAGAGTACATTAGGGTGGATTTTGCGTAGGGAAATTAGGTGACAAATTTTTGTGAGTTTGTATAACTAAGAGGGAGTAAAAAGAGAACAGTACTTTAACAGCTCTCTTCTTTTAATTTTTATTAGCCACAAATGTGTATTGGGACAATTATTAATGAAAACTAAATAAATTATTTGTAGGAGAGATTAAAACGGAAGCTGAAAAAATATTATTTATAGACGGGACTGAGGGGAGTCTACTACAAACGAGCTGAAGTTCCCTTCCTTCAGTATTGAGTTGCTGAAGGCAAAGAGTCAATTATAAATGATGTTGAAGCAGTAGATGGGGCTAAAGCAGAACTTTTTATATACGGGGCTGAAGTAAGATGTATATATAGACGAGCCTTACTAAGGTTTTTATAGACCAGATTTATAGACGAGCTGAACATAAAAGTCTTTATAATAGAGACAGGGAGTTCCTTTAGACGAGCTTGGGATAATGAAAGAAGTCATTAAAGAGGAGACTGCAGTATCGAGTCTTTTAGACGACCTGAAGAACAATTATATTTAGCCGAACTGTTTTTGTAGAAGGTTCTTAAACAAGGATTTTTTATAGACGAGGTTTAATCAAAGAGTTTTTATAGACACGACAGAAGTTGTGAGTCTTTATAGACGAGTCTGAAATAGGAGGAATTCTCTGTAGTCGAGCCGAAAAAGTAATTATTTTTAGTACCATTGAAGCAGGGAGTCTTTATAGACGAGACTCAATCAGGAGATTTTTTATAAAATGTTGAAGTAAGGAGTCTTCTACACTAACTCAAGAATGTCTCTACAATATTTCAAGTGAAAATCTCAAGAACTCTTGAAGATATAGCCGATTTATTGTGTCAGCATTAAGTGACGGCTGAAGGGCTTCTCAAACTATAAACGCGTTTTTCTCCACATATTGGTTTTGCGAATGGCGGGCACGATAACTCAAAAACTAATAGCCCAATCGATTTCAAATTTTTACACGTTTCTCTGTGTGTGTATAGCTATCGTATGAACTAGGATAAAGCCAATCGGTGAAGATCTTCCTTATTTTTTAACTTGGTTTTTGGTCAAAATTCGGCGATTTTTCAAAAATATTTTTTCAAAAGTCCGCCATTTTGTTAATTTTAGAGCGAAGTCAATAATCCTCGTTCATACGAGAGCCAGTTGGAATTTTCGGGATTCCGATGATCCAGTGAGGAGTTATCATGCCCGCCATCAAAAATAAGGACTTTTCTTTAATTACAAAAAACAACAACAAAGCAATAACAAAATTTTTTTGTAAATTATTTTTCTTCTTTTTTAAATCTTCAAATATATATGTGCAAAGTTACAAACCTTAACAAGCATTGGTATTGATTTACCAGCCGATTGAAAATCTTGAAAAATTAAAATCGAGAATGGGTGGGGTTCCCTTAAGTCGAAAATTTTTGAATATCCGGTTCAAAAATTTCGAAATTTATTTTTGTGACGTATAACTGCATATATATGCTTTATAAAAAGTTCGAGGAATCCAACAGTTCTACGTAATAAGGAATGCATACTGAATTTATTCAAATATTGTAATAATTGGAGTCCAGTTCAATAAATTAGGGACACAAGGATTCGAGGACGAAATGTTCTACAAAAAAAATCTTCATTCGATTTTACAGCAATCTAAAAATACATATAATAGGTCCAAATTGAGATATGAAGCTATGTCCGAACTTTGTCCTACGGCGTTTTTTTTGCCTTCTGAGGTTTTCATGTACTCACCAAAGTCTTTCATACCCAATAGGAATTTTCCACCCCCCAAAATCTTGTTGCCCAGTGTAGTTAATCAATTTTCTTAGGTTTCCATTGTTAAATAATTTATTTTTTCGATATTCTATAGGTCAGTCTCAAAGTTTCTTTTAGAACAAAACTGGAGCTGGGGCAGCAGCATAGGTCAAGGGTGCGGAGTAAGCGAAAGGAGCAGCATAGGTGGCAGCGTATTTGGCAACAACAGGGGTAGAGTAAGCAGTAGCTACAGGGGTGGTGTAAGCAGCAGCTACTGGAGCGGCGAAAGTCTTGGCAACAACAGGGGCAGCAACGGGAGCAACGACTGGTGCGGTGGCAATACCATTGTAGTTACGGGCAACATATTGGCTACTGGTGGCAGTCACAAAGGGAGCTGGGGCAGCAGCAACAACAGCTGCGGGTGCGGTATAAGCCAAGGGTGTAACCAAACCGGGCTTAGCGGCAGCACAGGCAATGACAGCGAAGATGACAACGGCCTAAATGAGACGAAACAAATTGTTAATATTTTGTATCAATTTGATGTGAAAGCTTTAATACTTACGAATTTGAACATTTTGAATTTAGATTTGTGAATTTGAAATGTTATTACTCTGATAAGTAAGCGACTTCTGATACCAAATAAATAATAAAGCCAAGTATTTATAGTGGATAAAAGTTTACCGTCTTGTCTTTAATAATGAATTCGTTTCAACAATTGTTTCAAATCCATAGCTAATCATATCAGTCAGTATACATTGGGTTTCTTTAGAAATAAACACAACGCATGTTCAATTAAAATTCGGGACACATGTAGTGGGCCACTTGTATTTCAAAATAAAATAAAATTATATTTAAATATTTCATTTATTTTGTTTCTGTATGGAATCCACTTAGCCGAGGTAATGGTAATTCTTGTAGATTTCAAGAACATATGATGTGCAAGGTCAGTAGTTTGTATTTTAAATTATATGTCTTTAAACTTAAGACAAATTAATTAAGAAATTAAATTGTATCCATTTTTCGTATAAATAGTTAACTTCATTATTGGATTGATATCAGAAGTCACTTACTTTTTCGAGTAATAACATTTCAAATCCACAAACCTTAACTCAAAATGTTCAAATTCGTAAGTATTGAAATTTTTGCATTAAATTGATATACGATATTAACAATAGATTTATCCAAAATTAGGCCGTTGTTATCTTCGCTGTCATTGCCTGTGCTGCCGCTAAGCCCGGTTTGGTTGCTCCTTTGACTTACACCGCTCCCGCTGCTGTTGTTGCTGCTGCCCCAGCTCCATTTGTGACTGCCACTAGTAGTCAATATATTGCCCGTAACTACAATGGTATTGCCACTGCCCCAGTTGTTGCTCCCGTTGCTACTCCTGTTGTTGCCAAGACTTTTGCCGCCCCTGTTGTTGCCAAGACATTTGCCGCTCCAGTAGCTGCTGCTTACACCGCACCTGTCGCTGCTGTTTACTCTACACCTTTTGTTGCCAAATACACTGCCACCTATGCTGCTCCTTTCGCTTACTCCTCGCCATTGTCTTACGCTGCTCCAGTTTTGTTCTAAAAACTGCCAAGCTTGACCAAAGAACTCCATGACAAATAAATTATTTAACCAAAAAAAAAAAAAAAAAAAAACAAAAAAACAATTCTTGACTTGTTTTATTTTTGAAATTACAATTATTGTTATAGACTCTGAGTTATTTTAAATAATATGACATGGGATATTCAAATTTCAGGATTCCAACTCTATTGGTTCACCCATAATTCAAATTGTACTAAATATAGTACACAGTAGTACGAATTTCTAAAATTTCCTACTTAAGCCAAATCTACACCCCCACAGTGATCCTTAATCCAAGTTTCAGGATTCCAACACTATCGGTTCACCCACAATTCAAATTCTACCAAATTTAGCACACAGTAGTACCAATTTTCAAAACTTCCTACATACCCAATCCTACACCTTCACAGTCATCCATAACCAAAAATTCGTACAAATTTCTAAAACATCCTACATATCATAATCTTACTCCTCAGAAGTGATCCTAAACCCAAGTTTCAGAATTCCAACTCTATCGGTTTACCCAAAACTCAAATTGTACCAAATTTAGTACACAGTAGTGCTAAATTCCAAAACTTCATACATACCCCAATCCTACACCTTCACAGTGATCCTAAATCAAAACTTCATGTTTTTAACTTTATCGCTTCACTCACAATATAAATTGTACCAAATTTAGTACGCATGAGTACAAATTTCTAAAACTTCCCACATATTTCAATCTTACACCACCACAGTGATTATGACTACAAATTTCACGATTCTATTGGTTCACCTAATATTCAAATTGTACCAAATTTAGTAGCATTTAGTACCCATAAGTATTAATTTGTTAAACAGAATCCTGACCCTAATCCTACATTCCTACAATGATCCTAACTCCAAATTTCATTGTTCCAGAACTATCGGTTCATCTAAATCCAAATTGTTTCAATTATAGTACGATTTAGTACTTTTCGTACACATAAGTAAAAAATTTCCAAAACTACCTACATATCCCAATCCAACACTCCAACGGTATTGTTAATTTAAATTTTCAGGATTCCAGCTCGATTTGTAACTCCAAATCCAATTTGTACAAAATATAGTACCATATAGTACATTTCGTACACATGAGTACACGCTTTCCAAACACTCCTCATATCGACCCTACTTCTCAACCTTAATTTGCATTCCAAATATCAAGTTTTTAGCTCAATCCATTCACACGCTACGAAATTGTACCAAATTTTGTACATTTCAGTACTTTTCGGATACTTACAGTTCGAATTTTCAAAAAGCCCTTTTGCTACTACACTCTATAAGTACACTCTACACTCCATAAGTGACGCTCAATCCAAATTTCAGAGTTCTAGCTCTACTGGTTCGCCAAATACAAATGATACCATATTTAGTACGTTTCTTACCGTTCTAGTACGAATTTCCAAAAACTCAGCCTTATCTGACACCTTTGGACCAAGAGTGACCCTCACCTAAAATTTCAAGACTCTAGCTTCAGCCGTTTCGTCTGGGCGTTGATGAGTCGTTAAATCAGACAGTCAGTCACTCAGTCATTCACTTTGTTCTTTTATTAATATAGATTGATCGGGTTTAAAATCTGCACCGGTTGCTGGAATACCCTATTTGTGACCACGTCGAGTATGCTACAAATAGGAATACGATAATCATACATTAATTCAATTTATATTCTAAATTCTCGGTCTTGAAGATAATCGATAGATTTTGTGTCGTGGGGTATCCCACAGGGTCTTTCGGATGTACACTTAGGTTAACCACAAAGCAAGGCAATATCTCCAAATACTTAAATATTTGATCATTTCGGTATGGTCCAATAATACGGAAAGTCATCTTAGAATTTTATATTTTGGTATTCCCAGTTGGTAGCAATTTTTTTACATTTTAAGGGAACCCCCCCCCCCCCCCCCCATTCACGATTTTATTTTTTCAAGATTTTCAATGAATACAAATGCTTGTTAAGGTTTGTAACTTTGCACATATATAATTGAAGATTTAAAAGAGAAGAAAAATAATTTACAAAAAAATGTTGTTATTGTTTTGTTGTTGTTTTTTGTAATTAAAGAAAAGTCCTTATTTTTGATAGCATGAATACAAATGCTTGTTAAGGTTTGTAACTTTGCACATATATAATTGAAGATTTAAAAGAGAAGAAAAATAATTTACAAAAAAATGTTGTTATTGTTTTGTTGTTGTTTTTTGTAATTAAAGAAAAGTCCTTATTTTTGATGGCGGGCATGATAACTCCTCACTGGAGCATCGGAATCCGAAAATTCCAACGGTGTTAGAAAGAGTACATGTCTGGCTCTCGTATGAATTAGGATTATTGACTTCGCTCTAAAATTAACAAAATGGTGGACCTTTGAAAAAAATATTTTTGGAAAATCGCCGATTTTTTACTAAAAACCAAGTTAAAAAATAAGGAAGATCTTCACCGATTGGCTTTATCCTAGTTCATACGAGTTTTTGAGTTATCGTGCCCGCCATTCGCAAAAAAATGTTTAGAGAAAAACGCGTTTAAAGTTTGAGAAGCCCTTCAGCCGTCACTTGATGCTGACACAATAAATCGGCTATATCTTCAAGAGTTCTTGAGATTTTCACTTGAAATTTTGTACAGACATTCTTTAATCAGTGTAGATTCGAATTATATCAACAAAAAAATTGACCCCGAGAATGGGACTTAACTTAACTGATTTTCCTTAAATTTAGGTGCTCCCGATATTATATACATATATATTGTGTTGATGATAATAGTATGTATTAATATTCGACTATCTAATCAAAAAAATTAATCAACCTGCATTTTGTTTCTTGTGTTATATTTCACATATAAAATAATTCAACGAAGCTTAAAAAATTTAGTTCAAGCCTGAGGTTACCTCGACTCCGTAAATCAATTGTAAAGACCTATCTCACCCTATCGGGTGAGGGTCACTTATAAATTTTAATGTCAGGCAGACGAAAAATTCAACAGAAAAAAGGGTCTGTAAAAATATAAGTGATTTCTAACATTGTCAGTGACGAGTAAAATGTCATAATGGTGTAATTTTGCACTACTAAAGGTAGGCTTCATAAGGAAGTGAATTTATTTGCATGTCTAACATTAAAGTGTAGGCTTAGAGGAATATTACACTATATACGCTACATATGCAGGAGCTGCAGTAGGTGGCCCTCTATAAGTAATACAGTAAATAAATAATTATGATTTTGTTTAATTTTGTATATAATTTATTGTATCGATATTCTATAGTTCAGTCTCAAAGTTTTTAGAACAAAACTGGAGCTGGGGCAGCAGCATAAGTCAAGGGTGCAGAGTAAGCAAAAGGAGCCGCATAGGTGGCAGCGTATTTGGCAACAACAGGGGTAGAGTAAGCAGCAGCAACAGGGGTGGTGTAAGCAGCAGCTACTGGAGCGGCGAAAGTCTTGGCAACGACAGGGGCAGCAACGGGAGCAACAACTTGTGCGGTGGCAATACCATTGTAGTTACGGGCAACATATTGGCTACTGGTGGCAGTCACAAAGGGAGCTGGGGCAGCAGCAACAATAGCAGCTGGTGCAGTGTACGCCAAGGGTGTAACCAAACCGGGCTTGGCAGCAGCACAGGCAATTATAGCAATGATGACAACGGCCTAAATGAGACGAAACAAGTTGTTAATATTTTGTATCAATTTGATGCGAACGTTTTAAGACTTACGAATTTGAACATTTTGAATTTTTGTAGGTTTTGAAATGTGCTTACTTTGATAAGTAAATGACTTCTGATATCAATCCAACAATGAAGTTAACTATTTATACGAAATAGTGATACAATTTAATTCACCTTCAGCTAAACGATAATTTTGAATATGAAATGGCATATCATTTTAAATATAAATAGTTCACCTTCCACATCAAATGTTCTTGAAATCTACAAGAATTACCGTTACCTCCACGAAATTAAAAGCGAGTTCCATTAAATTACATAAACAAAATAAAGTACATATTTAAATA